CAAAGTTAGTACAGTTGAAGGAAGTAGTCTGAACCCAGGGTAAGTTATCTCATACCATTTCTTCATTCCAACTGCATCCTGTACTCAAGTGCCACCTATATTGTACCCAGTAATGCATGATGCAGTGATGACGATTTTATCTATCCTCTAATAATAGAAAGAGGAAATACATCTCCAACCTTTCAAGCCAGGCACTGGAGGTTCACATCTGTAATCCTATTGGTAGAGGTAGACTGAGATACATCCATTGACAATATGTACAGTCTGCACATGCATAGCATTGGTTCTTCTCAATTAAATTGTTTGTTTTGTTGGTCAAATGGTTGGCTGACCTGTTGGCTGGCTGGCTGGCTGGCTGATTAGTTGATCAGGTTTATTTTCTCCAGTGCTGAGGATGTAGTTCAGGGCTGGTGGAAATTAGGCAAGTTAGGAGACAGATCAAAAGGCTGTGTTCTGAAGCTTTTACAACAGATAAAGAGACAGAAAGAATTAAAAGCATGTCCAGAAAAAGGGTGTCCTGAAAGTTACCTGCATTTTGAGTAGATCTGACTCATTTTACCCACCTAGAAGCATTTTCTAAAGACTAGGAGTTGCTAGAGATATTCTTCCAGCTCAGAAAAGTATAAAGATTATAGTCAAGGGCCACTATCTTCAAGACCTCCTTTTGTCTACTTCTCCTTACTTCATTCTGTCATAGAAAAATAAATTCTTGATAAAAAATCTCCTATTTTGTGAGATTCTCCTGTTTGTGAGACTTCATAAAAACGCTTTTTACGTATGAATCGCAAGGATATTTGTTTTTTCATATAAACTGGGAAGCCAGTTTATCCATCATCATCCATCATCCAGTAACAGAAGCAAAGAATGCTAGAGTATAGACTATTTGATTCACTCAGCAAACATCTACTGAATACTTACTATGTGCAAAACTCCCTTTCACCAAAGGAAAGGCCCAGGAGCCAGACTTGAGCGAGGCTGCATTGTAAGTTTGCTCTCTTGTCTCCCCACATCACCCTCCAGAACACAACTCCTATTTCCAGAACTTCTCTTGGCCTGGTATCCCCTTCCATCCTGCATTCTCTGTCTCATCTGGCAGACAAAATAAGGAAAATCTGATTCTATCTCAACAGGAAGTGGTAAGCCCAAACAGCATGCAGACCATCTACACCTGCCAAACTGAAGGTGACAGGTCCCATGTTTTCTGGGCCACTTCCCTCACCAGCCTGAGGAAAGCAGTCCCTGACTTCCTAAGAGATCCAAACTGACGAATGTATTGGCACACATCACAAATGCCACTTTCAACCTCTTACCACATGATTTTATTTCTTCTATAATTTCACAGTTATTGGAGATTGGAGAATTTAATCCAAAATCATTCAATATTTTGTTTAATGATCTTTGAAGTGGAAATCCTGTCAAAATGACCATTCTTTACCTCTTAGAAGAAGGAACCAATCTTAAATCTACCAACCACTCTTTTCAAACTGAACAGGCACAGGGCAGAGAGCTATCTGATACGACAGACAGTGTCGGGTGGGGAACAAAGCCACAAGACAGACTGGCATACTCTCCTAGACAGATGAGTTTCCCCTCAGAAGAAAACACATGTTTTATATTAAAATAAGCTCTGCCAGTCATTAAGATTATGCTTATCATCCTTTGCATTCAGGAGGATGAGTTCTGGAGGATTTTATTTGAAGCCACCTGGGGCAGGATTAAGTCCAGGAGATTATGCCCCAATCCTGATGCGTGCTCGTGCATGCACACATGCGCATGCGCGCGCACACACACACACACTCCCCCTAACATTTAATAAAATGATCAAGTGGTTAAAGGTAAAAATTCAAGGACCAGTGAAGTGGATCACACCTGGAATCCCAGCTATACGTAGGTAGAGATGGGGACAATCAAGATTTCCATCAGTCAGATCAAAAAGCTCCCAAGATCCCATCTGAACAACAACAACAACAACAACAAATTCCTGAGACCTCTTCTCAACCAATAAAAAGCTAGGTTTAGTGGCATGTGCCTGTCACCCCAGCTAAAGTGGGCAGCTTAAAGAATATTATAGACCAGAACCACCAGGGCATAAATGCCAAGATCTTATCTGAAGAAAAAGAAAAGAAAAACACAGAAGCAGAAGGGGATGAAGGCATGGTAGAGCACCTGCCTAGTTATCACAGGATACTAAAATCAAGCCCCAGTATTGTATACAGAAAAAAAAACTCATACTTAAAGCGGTCCACAATTTCTCAGCTTCCTGCAAATAACCCTCTTGCCTGTAAATATTGTTTAGTAAAACTTTTGAGAAATGTTCACCCATACTCAGTACTTTATCGTATGTTTGTCTTTGTCCCCAAGTACCTACAACAGTAGCTAAGATAGTATCTGGTATAAAGAGGTCACTCAGTAAAGTTTGCAGAACTAATGACATAATGACATTATCAATAACAGAAGACTTTTTTAATCACGTTTGTGTGAAAGGATAGGTAGACCAACAGCTACATCAGGAAATGGGATAAAAGCAATCCAATTTACCAAACAGCCAATGGTTGCCATGGTAAGTTCAGGTGAGTCAACTCAAGTGGAGTTCTTTTCTACTTTGGCAAGTTCAGGAAAGCAAATATTGTACTTGTTAATCTCACGTTGAAAGGTGGGGCTTAGGAGACAAGTCCACCAGGTGAGACTGGTGCTCATTAAATGTAATAACCTATGAACGTTTGGAAAGGCATAGTGATAGATTATTCTACCAATGATACGAAGTCCTGATTGTTGGACTGATCTTTAAAAATAAAAAGGGTCAATAATCATTTAAAGGTTAACCATCTGCTCCTATACTAGATAACCATGGAAAGATTCTACGTACACAAATATGGACAGTATGAATACTTCATTCCTAAAACTGCATTAAGATTTGTTGTTGTTGTTTTGGGTGCCAGTACTATCCCCTTGTTTGTTTTGTGCAAGCCCACAATTCTCCTTCCAGCTTTTTGCGGATTTAATTGAAGATGAGAATTTCACGGACTTTTGTTCCCAGCCTAGCTTGAACTACGATTCTCAGATTTCAGACTCATGTGTAGCTAGGATTACAGGAATGAACCCCCAAAGATGGGCTTTCATTCCAAAAAGTATTATTACTCTCAGCTGGACTAAGTTATGCTGAAAGATGATTCAAAGAAAGAGCAGAATGCACAGCCATGTTTACATTTTCCTCCCACCCTGGAGACACTGGTTTCACCTCACTTGTAAACAGAAAAGATCAACTGCCACACCCACTTTCTCTACACCAGCCCTTGGGGATGGCAGGATGAGTGACCTGCTCCTTCTCTAGACCCAGTTCCACAGCCCTGCACTCCCCAGACTGGAGGCTCCTCCTCCCTCCCCTCCAGCCTCCAGTCTGGGAGTGAGAACTCTCTGCCTCACAAGTGTGTGGGGTGCAAAGCCAGTACGTAGTAAGCACCTGACACACATGGGAACAAGATGTTCTTTTCTGAGACTCAGGCAAACCATCAGCCAATGTACTATCTTTCCAATCTTAGCAATAACAAAAAGAGCTCAATACAATTTTAACTAAAAATCCAAACAGAAAGCAGAAGAACCTGCTCAGCATTAACTGAATTGGGAGGAAATAAATAGTAGAACAACTGTAGACCAGACTCCAAGGTAGGGACTGATGCAGATGAAGCTGAAACTTTTCTTCCTCCTTCCTCCCTGGATGTCCTATAGTCTGGCCTGCTGGCATCTCTTCCCTCCTGGGAACTAAATTAGAAATGTGGTATTCAATTATTTCTCTCAAAGACAGATTGGTTATTTTATTCTACTGTGTAATAAACCAGTTCTGTTCCTAAGAACAGAGTGCGGTGGGCACTTGTACACACCTGTGTACTGTGCCTGGTGTGTGTGTGTGTGCGCGCGCGCGCGCTGGGCACTCGTGAACACCTGTGTACTGTGCCTGGTGTGTGTGTGTGTGTATGTGTGTGTGCGGTGGGCACTCGTGAACACCTGTGTACTGTGCCTGGTGTGTGTGTGTGTATGTGTGTGTGCGGTGGGCACTCGCGAACACCTGTGTACTGTGCCTGGTATGTGTGTGTGCGGTGGGCACTCGTGAACACCTGTGTACTATGCCTGGTGTGTGTGTATGTGTGTGTGTGGTGGGCACTCGTGAACACCTGTGTACTATGCCTGGTGTGTGTGTGTGTGTGTGTGCGGTGGGCACTCGTGAACACCTGTGTATTATGCCTGGTGTGTGTGTGTGCGGTGGGCACTCGTGAACACTTGTGTACTATGCCTGGTGTGTGTGTGTGTGTGTGTGTGCGCGGTGGGCGCTTGTGAACACCTGTGTACTATGCCTGGTGTGTGTGTGTGTGCGCGGTGTGCACTCGTGAACACCTGTGTAATATGCCTGGTGTGTGTGTGTGTGGTGGGCGCTCGTGAACACCTGTGTACTATGCCTGGTGTGTGTGTGTGTGTGTGTGTGTGTGTGTGGTGGGCACTCGTGAACATCTGGGCCTAAACACAACCAAGTTTCCTTTCCTACCAGGTCAGGATCCTCCTACCTGGAGGATGCCAAAGTGAGCTTGCTGCCTGGGGCGGCACCTGAGGCCTGAAGGGGCCTGCGGGGGAGGTGAGGGGGGGGGGCTCCGGGAAGGGAAAGGACGGGACTGGATGGGACGGGACAGGGAGAGGACTGGACTGGACAGGACTGGACAGGACGGGACGGGACAGGACAGGGAGGGAACAGGACAGGACAGGACGGGACAGGACAGGGAGGGGAGGGGACAGGACAGGACAGGATGGGAAAGCGAGGGGAGGGGACAGGACGGGCGGGGAGGGTTCCAGGGCTGGCTCCAGGGCTGAGGAGCCCTGCGTCCCGACCCCGGTTCCTCTGCGAGCCCCAGGACCTCTCCTGGGAAAAGCCAAGCGAGGAGGAGAAAGGGGCCCAGAGAGGGCCCGAGGCTGAGCACCCCAAAAGCCACCCCTCCGCGCCCCACCCCGCGCACCTGGGAATGAACCTGGCTTCGGCCCCCAGTCGTCCCTGGAAGTCCCGCCACGCGCGGCCGCCGGCCCCGTCCCCATCCTCGTCCTCGTGGTCGTGGTGGCCGTGGCGGTCGTGGCCGTGGGGGTCGGGGTCGGGGTCCTCGTGGCCGTGGGGGTCGGGGTCCTCGTGGCCGAGGGGGTCGGGGTCCAGGTCGCGGTCCTCGCGGTGCTGGTCCTCGAGCCCCGCGC